ATCTTTGGGCTCAAGTTCAAAATCAAACTTTTCTAACTGTTTAGCCAGATAATACTGAAATTGGTTCATGTTTTTCGCGGTTCTACCACAGATTTCGATCTGAGCCCAAAGAGGACGCATTAGCTTCGAATATGATGTCAGGGACACCTAAGCTCGTAACATACTTAAATATGCTCAACTGTATTCTTTGGGCCCAGGGCAAAATCTGAGGTAGAACAGCGAAAGACATGAATTACTTTCGGCAAGTACCGGTTAAAAAGTTACAAAAATTTGATTTAGAAATTGATCCCAAAAGGGACAGGAGACCATATTCAAGTATGTAACGTGCCTAGGTGTCCCTGACATCATGTTCGAAGCTCATGACCCGTCCCTTTTGAGCCCTGGTTGAAATCTGAGGTAGAACCGTGAAAAACATGAACCATTTTCAGCATTTTCGGGCTAAAAAGATAGAAAAGTTTGATTTCGAACTTGGGCCCAGAGAGCACGGTTGATCATGTGCAAGTGTGTTACGTGCCTAGGTGTCCCTGACATATTCGAAGCTCATGACCCGTCCCCATTGGGCTAAGGTCGAAATCTAAGGTAAAACAGCGGAAAACCGTGAATTTTCAGCTATTTTGGGCCCCTGAGCCATGTTTAAGCCCCTGTTTTGTAGCCAAAAAATGTGAGAATTGGCAAAACTCGATTATTTCTGTAAAATATGCATCGTCAACTGCCAAATATCCAAAAAATTTCCCGATTCCGTGGAAAGGCCGATTTTGGCCCAAATCGCAACTTCTCCTTTTGAACTTCGGCCCGCCCTGAAGGTCATGATGAGTTTCTTTGTTGGTTTCTTTTTAATCAAAGATTCTAAATCTACTTGTACAAGTATATGGGAACCGACCCCAGACTCGCGGAATTAAAATTATGGAGAGAGGTGCAAAGCTTGGAGATGTTACGTAAGTCGCCATCGTGAGGCCAAAGATGAAGTTTATAGTTCCTGATCTTCTGTGTACGACTTCAATGTATTATGATGAATATCTCTAAAAACTAACAAGTAAAAATATACATTTTCAACTAGTTACAGATTCTTTTCTGCCAGATGAACTATTTTTCCCAACTATGCGTTAGTCTAGAGATGACCCAGTGCAGTTCGGACAGCTGTGAGCCGATGCTTTCAGTAAGCGGTGTTGGGTTACTTGAGATTTTAGTTCCTTCAAAACAGAAGGATAGAAAGTATATCAATAGCGAAAGTAGAGAAACATATGCACCTTGATGTAGGGCAACGTTGCAAATGTCCTGTCATATTTTACTCCTTTAAGAATAAACCATCACCTTCAAAATGGAATACCTGTTAGTGAGAAAAAAGAAGGGGGGGGGGGTTAAAAAAATAAAGCAGTGATTTTGTGAAGGACTGAGGAAACTTAACTGACACTTAAGGTGTGGCAGGAAATTTGCAACCCTAGTTTTGTTTACCATAAAACTACAAGGGGCTCAGAGAAGAAGTGTCCCCTCTTTTTTAGTTTAAAATTGAGGGCTTCTTCGCTGAAAGGGCGTATACGCGTTTGCACCTGGTTTAAGAAGAATGCATGTTTTGAATATTTGATAATATTAACATAGATAATAGCCATGTTCTTGTAGAATAGAAGTTGAATTGAGATTGTAGAGTGAGGGAGGAATTTTCCGATTTTTCGTCATGTCTGTGTATAAGAGGCGGCATATTACCATACCACATCTTATATTCGACTTCTTCGGATTTGTTTTGTCTACGCATTTACAATTTATGGACGATGCCTTGCGTTTTTGAAACTTGTTGGTTTCAGTGATTAATAAAACATGTTTTCAACATTCCATTCTTGTTACTCTCCACTCCCATTAAAAGAAAGAGAGAAAAATCATGAGTAATAAGAAACAAAGTATTTCATCACAAGAAAGTCGTCCACCGATAAATCGGCGTATAACATGCTTCATGAGTGGTTTCAAAATAAAACAACGGTACGTGCTAGACACGTGTAATTTTGCATATTTATATATCAAATATTTTGTACGTCAAAATAACCTTGAGAATGGGGGACTATTTACTTATTCTAGTCCAGAGGGAGCGCGTATTTTTTTATAAGTATCCAACATGAGTTTTCTTCAAAAGTACAAATTACGTCTACGCTCTTTTAATGAAGCAGTCCTTCGTTATTGAAGCTAGGATGATTTTAAATGTATCATAGAAAAGACTTTCTCTTTCACCAGCTCTTTTCATTTTGTTTTGTGATCAGCCAGTCACTTAAAAGTGGCATTTTGCCTGATTAGTAGTGGTCAAATTTTCGGAGATGATTTGAAAAAATCATTGGAGCATCACCAGCGGCTTCACGTTTAAAAATAATACAAAATTGCGAAAACAATTTTTACAAGGGTATGGTCAACTTTCGGATGGCATTAATGGTTGCTGAGAAAACGAACACTGACACTTCATAATCATGCAACCATTACTGAAAAGGAAGAAAATTTCTTAGCAATTCGGATCACTGAGGAAAAATGCCAGTTTTTCATGACCAGCTGTTCTCAAAATAAAAACAAATAGAAAATTAAAGGGCTGAAAGAATAAGATGGACAAGATGGGAAGACATGGAGGGGTAATCTATTTACTTTCCATGATTCCTTAGAAAAGATAAGGAATATTCTTTCCTGAACAACCCTTGTAGCTACCTAAAGAGGGTTATACAAAATCGGCGATTTTACCCCCCTCTTGGATTTTGCCCGGAGTTGGATATGTTGCTCCCTATCACAAGACACGCCTTTTTCCGGCGTTGGCAAGTTCACCCGCAATTTTTCCCGCGCGCTACAGCGTTGCCAAGTTGAGAACAGGCAAATTCCGTAAGTGGCGTTAAAATTGAGCTATGAAGTTGCGGTTTTAACGAAAATTCTCTAAAAATTGCGTACTTTTAGGAAATGACCATCAATTTAATGTCGCATTAATTTTAATATGCATTGTTGCCAATTTTTCGATTTTTTAATTCGACTAATTTTACAAATCCGCAAATATCCAAAAAAGCTATCTTCAAATCTGAATAAAAAGTTTTCTAATCGATAGTTCGTTCGATTCCGCATTCATCGATATATTATGGCTCGCTGGGAAACTTTTGGTTCGCGAGATATCATCAGTTTTGTAAACAGCTTTATGGAGCGACGACGCTTTTTGAGTCCGGGCGGATAGAAATTTTAGCCTCCAAAAACACAGGTCAGCATTAATTCCATGGTTTCCTATGTAATTTTCGGCGTTGAATCCGAATTGGACCATTTCATAACAAAATTGTAACCAAGAAGTTGCCAAATTTGGCAAAAATGGCTTAAAATCGGCCTTTTTGGCAGATTATGGCCAGTGGCTTGCCAGGAGTTGATCGGACGACAAAATTGGTTATTTCCACAGTTAAAACTCGTTGAACTTTTACAAGCTGAGTCAAATTCTTTCTGCTCACGGCAAAATTAAAGGCG